TTTTAAAATATTTTTATTAACTTTCTTGGAATGGACAATGTATTTGCGTATGTAAACTGAGAGAAAATTATTATGGATGCAGCATCAGAAATAATCAAAACAAGGTAATTAAAATTTTTACAATACCCTAAATGTCTTAAAATGCACACATTTCCATCAGTATAGCATAAACTTGTCTTTGTGTTCAGATTTTTAAAAAAAAGTATAGTAGAAAAATTCTCATGTAATACCAGAGTAATGAACCAATTTTAAGAGGTCAGAGGCCAGAGCTGCCTCTTAATTTCCAGTGTCAAAAATGTGGATTATTCCATAGGCTGTTAGAAAAATGCCTGGACAGCTTGCACTTTGAGTTTTCCTCTGCCTTTAGGTCAAACAAACCTGTTATGTCTCATTTTCTAGGGTGGTTTAAGGGCCATTTTTACCCCAAAAGAATAGGGAAATAGACACTGTAAGGCATTGACCTTACAAATATATTAGTGAACTATTAATTAAAGTTATTGCTAGGTTGGTAGGAAATATTTAAATAGTTTAAGTCCAACTCAATAGTCCGCTCCTATAATTGCTGTACACATGTGACTCTGCCCATGAATATAATTGGCAGAGACAAGTATTTCTGTAAAAAGAAGACCCAGAATTAAGGTGCTCTGAAGTCCTACCATACAGTGTACCCATACAAATTAACATGTTTTTCTAGGTCTTGAAAGAAAGTACATATCAAGCGTTTAAAAAAAAAAAAAAATCAGAAAGCTCTCATTTACTGTTACCTTTTTTTTTTTTCTCATTTGTGGATGGAAGTTTCTGTTGAGTGGAATTCTTTGAACATTTTTCTTTGAGTTTCTTAGTTTTTGAAGAATACGATGTCACAGGAAAGCAGTATAGATATTTGTGCGACTGGGATTTGGATACATATTTTTTTCTTATAATCTACATTTTAGGCTTTCCCAACTTTTTGACCGTATGGTACATTTTGTATCACAATCCATTTTGCACACATGCATGTGCATAATTAAAAGAAAAGTTACAGAAGTTAGGCATAGGTATATCTTGAGTATCAGTCAGGGGCCCATTAGGAGACAGAAACCACAGGAGTTATTTTAGGAATGGCTATAATATAGGGAATCATTAACCAGAGGGAGCTGCTCAGGCTGTGTTACTCAAAGTAAATTGATCTGCTGACTGTTTACCACCAGTCTGCAATGCACCCTGAAGCTTGTGCCTGAATGTAAATCAACACACTGCTACTTTTTGAGAAAGTCTGTCTATGAAGAAAAGTTAACTGAATTAAACAATGCACTTATTGATATAGTTAATTTACACTTTGGCGTAAGCTCCTGATGTCATTGTGGACCAGTGACAGATGTTTCAAGGACTGGCCCTCATCTCTTAGTGCTGCGTGGAGATCACGGAGGTAGTGACAGCGGGGAGACACTACCCCTGTGAGGACCAGCAGGGAGAGGCCAGAGTTGTCAGAACTAGAAGCTGGAAGGAAGATCCATGGGGCCCTATACGACTTCTGAGGAGGGGACATGGACCAGCTGGGGTTGGTAGAATGGGGGTTGGCGCTGGGAATGTGGAAAAGCTATAAGCTGGAACCAGCTGCTGTGACTTGAAGGAACTGCTGCTGCTGGGATGGAGACACATTGCTGGGTGGAGGCGGTGGGCAACGACAAGAACCGGAAGCAAAACAGAAAGGAACAAGTCCCATCTTCCTCTTGCAGCCTTCAAGCCTCCCCCAAGTGCTTCCAAGAGGCTGAGCTTGGGAAGCTCTAGCTCCTTAGAGCCAGCAGCAGGGCCTGCTCTGAGACTGACCGCACATCTCACAACTAGCCCAACCATGCCCTATTGCTGCATTCTGCAATGTGCTCTGATAACTCGTAACTTATTTTATTACATTTCTTAAACATGCAAGTTGCCACCTATCACGCATCACATTGACTTCATGACTAACTACTGGTGAAAATTCATAGTTGAAAAGTGTCTTGCCAGATTGAGCCCTTTGCCTGTACTTTCTGAATCCAACTGAGGCACAGCCTTCTGTTGTTATATGGTGTGCTTTTCAAAGTCCAACACACAAAGCCATGAAGTGTTCCACTGGTGGCATGCTTCGAGATTCTCTTTTGTTAATTGGTTAGCTTGGAACCCTTCTGAAATGGAAACAGGATTGTCATCCTTTTGCCTATTTTGGGGGTGAAAATAAAATTTGTCCAGTCATTAGAATGTGTGTCCATTTTAAATTTTGTTGTGTCATTTAAAAATTCTTGAAATTGCTTGGACTCTGTTGCTTGTTTAAGGAGGCTTGAAATTTATTTCTACCTATGAAAATGGCCCCCATCAAATACTTCTGTAAGAAGTGCACAGGACAGACAATACCAATGTTGGGAAGGGACCCTAAAGATCAACTATCCCAAATTTCTCATTTCAGGAGGATGAATTGACTTACCTGAGACAAAACTAGAAAAACATCTTAGGGTCTTGAGACTTTTTTGGTCAATGTAAAAAAAAAATGTAGAAAGCAAGTTTTAAAAAGCTAGCAGTTCAGGTAATATTTTTTTATTAGTAAGTTCACCTTATTAAGAAATAAAAGTCACGTCAGTATAGGAGAACGTTAAGTTAGAAGTCAAGACTGAGGTTTGTCTTGGCCCTGCCAATTATGTTCAGTGGGTTTTTGCTCTCTGAAATCTCTTTTGTCCATCTGTAAAATGGTGAAATGATCTTGCCCTGCCTCAGCTTGGGTGTGTAGGCATGCTTTGGAAGCTGTGAAGTATTTTGAAAATATAAGGCATCACACTAATTATTACTGATCGAGAGGTGGGCTCTGCTGGGAAGATGAATGCCTAAGTCTGTTACAATCCCTTAACATGAAGCTTTAAAATACTGTGCTGCAGCTGCTTCCTAGTCAGTAA